CTGTCTGTCCTCGTCCTCCCCGTCTGTCTGTCCCCATCTGTGTGCGCCCATCTTCCCATCTGTCTGTCCCCATCCACCCCTGTCTGTCCATCCATCCCTGTCCACCCCATTCTGTCAGTCCATCCCTATCCATCCCCCATCTGTCTTTCTGTCCCCGTCTACCCCGTCTATCTGTCCCCATCCACCCCGTGTGTCTGTTCCCGTCCACCCCCGTCTGTCCGTCTGTCCACCCCCCTCCGCCCACTCTCTCTCCCTGTCTCCCCAGCACGAGTTCCGGGGGCACAGCGATTACGTGCACTGCCTGGCGCTGCGGGACCAGTCCCAGGAGTGTCTGTCGGGCAGCGAGGACGGCACTGTGCGCATGTGGGGTGAGGAGCCGGGGGGACCCCCCCATTGCCGCCATCGTGACACCCCCGCTCCAGCCTGAGCTCTAGGGCGGGCCCAGGGGCTGGGGGAGGGGGTGGCTTGGAGCCTGGGGGCCTCTCCATGTCCTCCAGGATTGCGGGGGAGGAGTATCCATGTGATAATTGCCCACCCCGCCGCTGTCTCTCTGCTGGGGGCCCCGCCCCCCCTCACACCAAGCTCTCTGTGTCGCAGATCTACGGACCGGGGCACAGGTCCAGCTCATCGAAGTGCACAAATACGAGGTAACAACAGCTCCCCCCTGCCCCCCGTTCTAAGCACCAGAGCCCGCTCCCCTCCCAGAGCCGGGGAGAGAACCCAGGAGTCCTGGCTCCCAGCCCCCCCTGCTCTGACCCACCAGACCCCACTGCTCCCCCCATAACGGTCCCTCGTTCTCCTCCCCCAGGAATGCAGCCGGCCCCAGCACGGGAAGTGGATCCGGTGCCTGGCGACAGACTGTGACTGGATGGTGCGTGAGTTCCCAGCAGGGGGCGCTGGGGGCTCTGGTTTGGGGTGGTAAAGTCGTCATCTCCTCAGGTGTGGGGCTAGGGATCTGCTGGGACGCACGGCGCCCAGTCGTGCGAGGCCAGGGGGCTCCAGGGACGCACAGCGCCCAGTCGCGCAAGGCTGGGGGGCTCCGAGGACGCACTGCACCCAGTCGTGCCTGGCAGGGGGACTCCCAGGATGCACTGGGCCTGGTAGCAGTTTCCCCCTGGCTGCAAGGGGTTGGCCTGAGAAGCAGAGGCTCATGGGATGCAGGGGGAGCGGGGCTGTGGGGGTCTCTGCGGCGTCTGACCCCGTTTCTCCCCCAGGTGTGCGGGGGGGGCCCGGCGCTCTCTCTCTGGCACTTGCGCTCCGTGACCCCCACCACGGTCTTCCCCCTGCCCCACTGCCAGCAGCACGTCATGTTCTACCAGGACCTGGTGAGTGCCCCCCACCCTGTGCCCCTCGGCCTGCCCTGCCCCGGGCTCCTCCTCCTCCTCCCCTCCGGCTCGCCCCCCGGCCGGCCTGGCCCCTTCCCGGCACGCGTTGGGTGGGCGTCGGGTCCTTCCCCAGTGGGCAGGCGTGGGGCCACTTTGGGGGGGGCGTTCATTCATTCGTTCCTTTGTTCGTTTTCTTCCCCCATTTCGTTTGTTCTTCCTATTGCCCTGCGGGTTCGTTTACGCTTTTCATTCATTCGTTCTCCTCCCCGGTTCATTCGTTCTTTTTACTGATTCATTCACACGTTTTCTTCTTTCTTTCTGTTCCCCGATTCATTCATTTGTTCGTTCGTTTTATTCACTCTTTCTAGCCTTCATTCGTTCTCTTCCCCGGTTCATTCATCCTTTCGTTCTATTCCTCCATTTGTTCCGTTTCCTGTTCATTCGTTCTTTTGTCATTCTTTGCTTCTCTTATCATGCATTCATCATTGGGGTTCTTTGTTCGTCTGTCCTTTTCCCGTTCGTTTGTCTTCATTTTTCTTTTCGTTCTTTCTTTCTCGTGCCCTCTTCCTTTCTTCCTCCCTCTGGGGCACCTGGCATTGGCCACCGTCAGCAGACAAGACACTGGGCTAGCTGGACCTTTGGGTTGAGCCCGTCTGGCCGTTCTCATGTTCCTGCTGTCCATTTTCCCATTCGTTCTGTTCTCCTGTTGGTTGGTTCATTTGTTCTTTTTTCATTGTTTTCTTTTTATTACCCTCTTTCTTCGTCCCTTCTTTCGTTTTACATTCGTTCTTTGTCTTGGCCTCTTCATTCGTTCTATTCCCCGGCTTGTTCATTTGTTCGCTTTTTAATCTAGCCCTTGGTTCCGTCTTTTTTTGTTCTATTCTCCAGTTCATTTTTTCACTCGTTCTTTTTTCATTCCTTCTCTCTTGTTTCTTCATTTGATTTCTGATCTTTTCTTCTGTTCCTGTCCAGCCATTCTGTTCCTGTGTTCGTCTCTTCATTCATTTGCCTTTTTGTTCGTTTACTGCGGCTTCTTTTTTCTTGTTTGTCCCATTCCCCCTTTCAATTGTTTGTTCTTATTGCTCTCTTCATTCAGTCTAGTCCCCTCTTTTCTTTTCTTTCTCCTTCTATTCCCGTCCCCCTGCTCATTCCATGCCCCGCACGTTCATTCGTTCTTTCCCTCCGTTATCTCCCGAGGCCTCTCACTAACCCCCCGGCCCCGTCTCTGCCCCCCAGATCCTCTCGGCAGGGCACAGCCCGGCCATCAACCACCTGCAGATCAGCGGGGAAATCAGGGCTCAGATCCCCTGCACGCCCCGCTCCGTCCACTCGCTCTGTGTCAACGAGCGCTCCCCTGAGCACAAGGTAGGGGGCGCCCCGCTCACGCTGGGGGCTGGGAGTGGAGTGAGGGAGGAGCTGGGAGTGAGGTGGGAGGGACGTGGCTCCGGGGGAGGGGCTGAGAATGGAATGGGAGGGGCTGGGAGAGGGGGTGGGGCTGGGATTGGAGTGAGGGGAAGGTACTTAATTGGGGGGGCTTGGAGTGGAGTCAGACATCTAGTCGGGGGGTGGGGGAGGGCAGGGGGCTGGAAAGGGGGGGCTCTGAGGCAGGGACTCTGATGTAGCTAATCCAGCCCCAAAGGGGACCCTGGGATCCTGACCCCCCTCCCCCCCCATTGGTCTGACCCCCAGGTGCTGACGGCCGCCGGGAGCAGCCACAAAGTCGATGTCTTCACCAACTTCAGCTACCGGGCGTTTTCCCTCTGCTTCGCGTAGCGCCCCCCGTTCAAGTCCCTCCACCCCTGATCTCTGCCCCCAATCCCCTCTTCCCACCCCAGAGCCCCCCAAGTCCCCTCTCTGCTCCCTTTTGGTTTTTTCTCTTCTGTTTTTTTAATAAAATTGGGGTGACACCGGTCCCCCCTGCGCCATCTCTGTGCCCCGGGGGTTCCTGCGGCTCAGGGGTTGGCCAGGAGATCTGGAGCTGGGGGGGGGGGAGGGTGCACAGAGCAGTCGCCCCACAGATCTGGGGGTGCATTAAGGCGGTGTTGGACTTGGAGGGCAGGGAGTGCGTTTAGCCAACCTGTGTTACCCAGAGCCGTGTGGAGAGCCCCAGCCAGGCCCCTTGGCACGGGCCATACAGCCGGCTCCGGCCTCGCTGACTGCGCCCAGCTCTGGTGTGCAGCCTGCTGCTGTTTTGGTCACAGCTCACATTACAGCAACTCCGCCTCAGCCCAGGCCGCCGGGCTGGGGGCTCTCTCTGCCCGGTAGCCGGCCCTGGGGTGACTGTGACTGGGGGACCTGGCTCCGCGCTCACAGCCCGGGCTGCTGGGGAGCCTGCAGCTGCCAGGGTCTCTGGTGTGGGCGGCTCAGCGGGGACCCCGCGGACGGGAATGGGGGCGACACCGGTGATCGCAGGGGGCGCCAGCCTAGATCAGAGAAGGAGCCTTGGGGGTCCCGGTCCCAGGGCTACGTGCAGCAGGAGACACTGGAGCTGAGAGTCTGAACATGGGAGGTTCTGTAACGGGTGTGACAGCGGGGAACTGCCCCAGGGAGGGGAGGGGAGCCAGGCAGCAAATCCTCCATCTAAGAGGCAGCCCCCCCCCTTGCTCCACCAGTCCCCACTCCGCTCCCAGAACCGGGGAGAGAACCCAGGAGTCCTGGTTCCCAGCCCCTTTGACTCTCACTAGCTGGGGGTCTGGCCCCATTAGCTCAATCTCACAAGTAACCCAAAGTTCGGAGGCCGTTTGCTCCTTTGTGCCCCATTTGGAAAGAAAATGGGGCTGGGAAACTTCTCCCGGTTCCAGGCCTGGGCCCGTCCGTGCTGGTCCCTTGCCCGTCCCCATGGGACCTTTTCCACGGCAGCGTGTCCCGTGTCTACAGGGATGAGCCGGGTGCCAGGATTCACACGACAGGGATCACTGCCCCGGGCCAGGGCTGGACCTGGGATCTCTTTCTGGCGCTTCCGCCTGCCTGCTGGGTGACCTAGGGCGAGTCGCTTCATGGCAGCGTTCCTCGGTTTCCCTGTTTGGCCAGGGGGGCTAATGACACTGACTCCTGCTGTAACGGGCGGTGGGGCTGGGAAGGGCGGTGGCAGAGCCAGGGCTGGGTCCTGCCCGGGCTGCAGCGCTGTGTTCCCATGAGCTGAGCTCTTATATTTAACGTTTACATTATGGTGGGCACCTAGGGACCAACCAGGCAAAGGGGGCTTGATTTGCATGAATCCATTTGTCGGGGGGAAGGATCAGAACGGAGGTTTCCCGGCTACTTGCTGCCTGGTTCCCAGTTTTTGCAGGTCAGGAACAAGTTACCGAGTGTGGGAAACAGGGAGGGGAAATGGCCCTTCCCCACCCCCCTTTCTCCGGCTGGCCGAGGCAGCGAGACGGTGTGAAAAGTGGGGTTTGGCCCCGTCTGGGTGAGAACGCTGGGAAACGGTTCACGGGTGTGATGTGGCTTCCCCTGACCTGCGCAGGGCTTGGTCCCGTGGCCAACAGAGGAACTGGTTTTTTTAAAAAGGGAGAGAAAAAAATTAAATTTTTTGAGGGTTTAAATAGCCCCACCCGATCCCCCCTCCGAGACACCCTCACACCCTCTATTGGGGTCTCCGGGGGGGCAATATTTTGGGGTCTTGAGGATTTTGCAGTAGGTCAAACCCCAAACCCCGTGGCCATAGAGCTGAAAGCCGGGAGTGCCTGGCCGTGGGGGGTGCTTTCTCCAACGCTTGTAGCGGTGACACAAACATCACAGCCCGGGGGGTGAGGCCAGCGCCTCGGGGATGGATGGGACTGAGCCAACTCCCGGCATCTGGCCCCAGGCAGCCTGGCAAACTCCACAGCCACGTTTTAGGGCTTTGGCTCTTGCGAGCTCAATGATGATGTCAATCTTCTGCCGCGCCCCAGATTAACGAGGGAGCCTAATTATTCTCTTGGCTTGTGTGACGCGGGGCGCCTGGGGCAGCCCACACTGGGAATGCCAAGGTCAGGGCAGGCTGCAGAAGGGAGAGCAGCTCCTCCCAAGGCTGGTGGGTAACACTGAAGTTAAACTCCCCAACCCGTTACACACGGTGCTCCCTGATCCCCCACCCTGCTTATGGAGAAGCTGAAAAAAGCAATCACCCCCCCTCCCCCTTTACTGCATTCCAGTTCTCTGGTCCCAGCCAGCACCCAGGTCCAGTCCAGTGAGAAGTTATCTAAAAAATCTGCACATATATACAAAATGTTCTTCTGACCGCAAAGGTCCAGCCACATTGCCAGGTCAATAGGAGTTTGGATTTTATGCAAAATACCGCGCTGCCGGCCAGTCCTTTAGTGTCTAAAACTAAAGGTTTAGTAGAAAAGAACAGAACAGGACAGGCAGAGTGATGTGAAACGGTAAAGCCCTCAGATACGTACAGCGATTTCCAAGTCCATAGATCAGGTTCTTAGCAGCGCTGGTGAGGTTGCTGGCTAGAAAGTCCCTCTGGAGTCACCCACAGCTGGGATGGGTCAGTCAGTCCTTGCTCGGAGCTTCGTTTGTAGAGAAGTGACTCCAGAGCGGAGAGGAGCAGGACTGAAGACAAACTGGAGATGATGCAGCTGCCTTTTATGTCCTTTGCCATGCGGCTCGTATGTCTTTGTCCCAGACACACAGCGCGTGGGCATGGAGAAGCTCTTGAAGTCTCCTGTCCACAGGCCTGTCCCTACATGGCTTCTCCAAGTGCCTTCATCGTCCAGCTGATGGCCTTTAATAGGCCATCGGACAGAGGGGCTAGTGCTGCTGCCAATCATCCAGGAGTGTCACCCAGACACACAGCACACGTTTGGAAATACAGAGACACCCCACCTATCTGTAACGCGTGATACAAAGGTGATGTACGCATATAAACAACATCATCATCCTTGGCAAATCATGACGTTTTCACTCATCCTGTATGTGGCCTCTCTGCTCAGAGTCATCGCAATGATACAATATTGGCATTAATAATACCATAAAGTGTCTCCCATATGCCATGCAGCGGCCCAGCTTGTTTAACGATTTCTTAGCACTGTACAAGAGAACAGCAACGACGAGCCGGCGGAACTCCCTGCTACAGGATGTCGCGGCAACCAAGAGGGGTCAGAAAACCAGTGGAGGTTTATAGGGATAATGAGAACATCCCGACTTCTGTTAGGAGCAAAATGGCCTGAGGGCTCCCAATCTTCATGCTTCAGGGCTCTAAACCCACCTTTGCCTATTGGCGGTCAGGAAGATATGTCCAATAAGGGTGGGTTATTCTCTTACTGTCCTCGAGGGGGTTGCTGAAGCAGCTGGCGACGATAAGTGACCGAGCTGGAGGGACCCACCCCCGTCTCTGGGACAGAGTGGCAATTTCTGTCTTTCCTCGGCCCACAGACAAGGGAAGTCCCCAGGAGGGGCAGAGCTAAATATGCCGAGCGGTGGCCATCGGACGAGGCGCCCTGGGTTGCCACGGAGCTGGCAGCTCAGAGGATTTTGAGGGGCTGTGTGTTGCCCCCCTTGTCGTGCCAGCAGGGGTCGAAGATGGGGTAGACGGGCTTGTTGCCGAAGGATGTGTGGAAAGTGTGGATGTGGGTCAGTGTGTTGGGGTGATCGGCGTTGTAGAAGGAGACCTCCCCGTCCGTGTAGTCCAGGTAGACCCCGATGGTCTCAGGGTGGGGACAGATATCCAGGGGCCATGGATTGGTGTCAAATATCCAGTACTTCTTCCTGGCCTTCTGCTGGTCGTAGCCGATCAGCCAGTAGCCCTCGGCACAGACCTTGCTAGGGGGCCACGGCCACCACTCCACTTTGATCAACCTTCCCTGCCTCCTGGCTCGGTCCGAGACCACCCCCAGGTTCCAGCGCCGCTTCCAGCCCACAGACACCTCCCAGTAGTGCTGCCCCGCGCTGAAGCTCTGCTTAGCCACCACACAGTTCGCCGTGTCAAATCTCCTCGGGCTGGAGTCGACAAACCTTCCTTGACTGACGCATGTCACCTCCTTCCCGTCCTTCGAGATCTCCAGGTTAGGGTGAGCCGTGTCCGGGTCCAGGGATAAAACTTCCTTCCCTAGAAAGTGAAAAGGGACAGAGGCTCAGGACGCCTGGGTTCTCTCCCCAGCTCTGGGAGGGGAATGGGGGCTGGTGGGTTAGAGCAGGGGAGGCTGGGAGCCCAGACTCCTGGGTTCTCTCCCGGCTCTGGGAGGGGAGTGGGGGCTGGTGGGTTAGAGCAGGGGGGGGGCTGGGAGCCAGGACTCCTGGGTTCTAGGCACAGATCCCAAGGCCAGAAGGGACAATTGTGATCATCTCGTCTGACCTCCTGGGTTATGTAGGCCAGAGACCTGCCCTAGAAGAAAATTCTCAGAGCAGAGCTTTCAGAAAACTCTCCCGTCTTGATTTAAAAAGTTGTCCTTGATGGAGAATCCACCGACCCTGGGTAAATTGTTCCAAGGTTAATTCTCCTCACGGTTAAAAATGTATGTCTTATTTCCTGCCTAAATCTGTCTAGCTTCAACTCCCAGCCACTGGTTCGCGCCAGACCTTTCTCGGCTAGACTGACTGACTGTTATTAAATGCTGGTTGTTCCCCAGGTAGGTAATTACAGACTGGGATCAAGGCACCCCGTAGCTTCTCTTTGTTAAGGTAAATAGACGGCGCTCCGGAGTCTCTCACTCTAAGGCAGGTTTCTAACCCTTGAATCATTCTCGGGGCTCTTCTCTGACCCCGCTCCAGTTTATCAACAGCCCCTTGAATGGTGGGCACCAGACCTGGACACAGGACCACCCAGTGCCGAATCCAGGGAAATCCCACCTCTGCTCTGCGCCTGCTGGCGATTCCCCTGTCCAGCCACCCCGGGCTGGCACTAGCGGTTCTGGCCCCAGCTCCCGTTTGGCTCTGGCAGGGTGCAGAAGGGGATGTGCGGGGTTCAGAGAATATCAGCACTGTAGGGTCGGGAGAGGCGCTGTCTGTGTTTATCCCAATCCCAGCTGCTTTGAGCTGTGTTCTGATCACATCACGCCCCAGCCCCTGCCCTGACCCCCCCAAACCCAGAGCCGCCTCCTGCACCCCAAAACCCTCATCCCTGGCCCCACCCCAGAGCCTGCACCCCACAACCCAGAGCCTTGACCCCTTCCCGCATTCCAACCTCCTGCCCCAGCCCAGAGCGCCTCCCACACCCTGAACACCTCATTTCCAGCCCCACCCCACAGCCCTCACCCCAACCCTCTGCCCCAGCCCTGACCCTCTCCTACACCCCAAACCCCTCATCCTTGGCCCCACCCCAGAGCCTGCACCCCCAGCCCAGAGCCCTGACCCCCTCCTGCACCCCAACCCTCTGCCCCAGCCCTGAGCCCCTCCCATACCCTGAACACCTCATTCCCAGCTCCGCTGGGTCACGGGCATCAACAATTTTCTTCAACTAGGTCTCCAGAAAAAAAGTTTGAACACCACTGGGCCAGGATACTGCTTGGGCGGACCTCCAAGGGAAAGATAGGGTGCTGCAGGGAGCGGGATAGGGCTGTGGTGGGGGGCGCTGTGCTGTGGGGCTGAGGGCTCAGCAGGGGGCGCTCTCCCCTGGCAGCCAGGGCCGGCCCCAATGCCCCAGTGCGGCACTAGGGAGTGCAGTGGGGCAGGACTCAGCAGGGGGCGCTCTCCCCTGGCAGCCAGGGCCGGCCCCGATGCCCCAGTGCGGCGCTAGGGGGTGCAGTGGGGCAGGACTCAGCGGGGGGGCTCTCCCCTGGCAGCCAGGACCGGCCCCAGTGCCCCAGTGCGGCGCTAGGGGGCTCTGTACTGACGGGAGCAACCTTTCTGCATAAGGCTAAGATTTTGTCCTGGGTATTTTTAGTAAATGTCATGGGCAATAAACAATCAATCTCGGACGCCCCAGGTCCGGCTGCCTGGGGCTGGTCACGGAGGTCACGTAAAATCACGGAATCCGTGACCAACCTGTAGGTTTATCTCTGCATCTCTGGGCCTCCAGAAATTAATATTTTCTTTTTTGCAACTCTTCCGCCTGCCCCCCCGCTCCCCCGATCCGCTGTGGGGCCTGGAAGTCGCGACACGTTTACACGGCATTTCAGAGGTGGCGGGGACGGGCCGCCGGCCTGGCTCACCAGGCGTGAGCTGCAAAGCTCCGGCTTACCAGGGAACTTGCTTCGGGCGAGATTTTTCAACATTCTGGTTTCAGGAGTCTCAGCGAGCAGCTGCCAGGACCGGGCGGAGGTGGGGGAAGATCTGGGGCTTTCCTGATGGATAAATCACAGACAGATTCAAAGGTGGGAAAAGGGAACTAAAGATGGTTAAGTGAGAAAGAGACTAGCCCTGCCCACTGGCCCTCACTCCCCTCCCAGAGCTGAGGAGAGAACCCAGGAGTCCTGGCCCCCAGCCCCCCCCGCTCTAACCCACCAGCCCCCACTCCCCTCCCAGAGCCGGGGAGAGAACCCAGGAGTGGAGACCCCAGCCCACCTCCGAGAGCTGGGGACAGCCTGGAGCCTGGCCCCCTGGGTTTGAGGGCCCCCTTGTTGGCTGGAGGGTCCCAGGGCCGGGAGTCGGGGAAGCTGGGCCCAGGCAGAGATTCACTTTCGTTTTCAGGCTGAGCAGGAGCCTCGAACACTGCTCTGGGCAGGAACTGGCAGCTTGTACCGAGCAGGCTCAGGAACTCCGGCAGAAGCCGCTGCCCTCCTCCTGCCCCAGCTTCTCCTGCCAGCTCTGGGCAGGGGCTAACGGGGGGGGGGTGACACCGCCATGAAAAGGTCTAGAAAACATGAGCTGTGAGGGAAGATTGAAAACACTGGGTGTGTTTAGTCTGGAGAAGAGAAGGCCGAGAGGGGACATGAGAACAGTTTTCAAGTACGTAAAAGGTTGTTACAAGGAGGAGGGAGAAGAATTGTTCTCGTTAACCTCTGAGGACAGGACAAGAAGCAATGGGCTTAAATTGCAGCAAGGGAGGTCTAGGTTGGACATTAGGAAAAACTTCCGACCTGACAGGGTGGTTAACACTGGAATAAATTGCCTAGGGAGGTTGTGGAATCTCCATCATTAGACATCTTTAAGGCTAGGTTAGACAAACGCCTGTGAGGGATGGTCTAGATGGTGCTTGGTCCTGCCATGAGTGCAGGGGACTGGACTAGATGACCTCTCGAGGTCCCTTCCAGTCCTATTATTCTGTGATCCTCAATGTCTCCCTCTTCTCTGATCAGCAGAAGGGACCTTGTTCCATGCCGCCAAAGGAAGAAAGGTTGTCATCGTGCACACCAAGGAACAAGCCCCACAACTCTTGGAAATGTACCATGACAGTCCCCGCAGTGGACATCAAGGAGTTGTCAACATGAGAACGGTGCTTACCTCAAGGTACTATTGGCCTGGGATGACAAAAGACATCGTTGAGTGGGTCTGTAACGTAATTAAACCAAACCCTGACCTGTGTCATTTAAAATTACCGAACCACCAAAACAGAAAATCAACCTTCTGCTGGTGGCATCTGACTCAGATGATGGAAATGAACATGCGTCGGTCTGCACTGCTTTGGATTGTTATCAAGCAGAGCCCGTCATCAGCATGGACGTATGTCCTCTGGAAGGCTGGTTGAAGCATGAAGGGACATATGAATCTTTAGCGCATCTGGCACGTAAATATCTTGCGACGCCAGCTACAAAAGTGCCATGCGAACACCTGTTCTCACTTTCAGGTGACGTTGTAAATAAGATGTGGGCAGCATTATCTCCTGCAAATGTAACCAGCTTGTTTGTCTGAGCGATCGGCTGAAGAAGAAGTAGGACGGAGTGGACTTGTAGGCTCTAAAGTTTTACATTGGTTTTTTTTGTTGTACATAATTTTACATTTGCAAGTTCAATTTTCACGATAAAGAGATTGCACCACAGTACTTGTATTAGGTGAAGTGAAAAACTCAGGTTTCAGAGTAGCAGCCGTGTTAGTCTGTATCCGCAAAAAGAATTTGTTAGTCTCTAAGGTGCCACAAGTACTCCTGTTCTTTTTGAAAAACTCAGTTCTTTTGTTCTTTACAGTGCAAATACTTATAATCAAAAATAAAGTGATCACTCTACACTTTGTATTCTGTGTTGTAACTGAAATCAATATATTTGAAGATGTAGAAAACATCCAAAATATTTAAATAAATGGTATTCTATTATTGTTTAACAGCACAATTAATTATGATTAACTCTTTTAATTGCGTTATTAACTGTGATTATTTTTTTTAATTGCTTGACAGCCCTAGTATTTACACTTACAGGTAACATTAATGGAAACAAAAGGATTGTTAATAATCGACGCCTTGTGTGATGAGACGAGATATGAAAGAACCTCTGGAATTTGGAGGTGATTTTTTAGACACTTATTTGCATAGCCTACATGCAGTGTTCGTGTCACACTATTTTCAATAAATATAACAGCGAGGAGAATATCTTCCTGATAGCTACAAAGAAAAATGGAAACAGCCCGTACGTGTACTCATGGTGCATAATACTGGACACTGAGTGAAGCTGTGCGATTTGAGCATGGTTAACTACTTCATTGAACGTGGGCCCAAAACACGAGCATTTAGCATGAGCGAGACGTTAGCAACACGGGCAGAGCAAATCAAGTGATATAAAGCGTAAAGACTCTATTATGATCATACAAAACCACATGTATATATAGGAGCATGAAGTCTTTGCAACCGTTCATTAACTAGAAAAAGAAAGGATTAAACGTCTACCGTAACCGTAAGAAAAAGTGAAACCCACTTACACAATTGGCTACTGTACTCCCTACATATTTCAGATACCAAGAAACTGGAAAATCCACAATGGGACTGTGGAAAACAACAATTGTGGAACACAAGAGACAAATGGATAGCCACAACTGGGGGCTGCTCTCCTCAAGGTATTCAGTACCTTTGTTAATGATGTGCAATTGTGATGTGTGGTCTAATCAGAAGTGTTATTGGTTGCAGAAATGTATTTACAGCATAAAGACATCAATACTGTAGAAACCACACAAGGGGCTTTAACGACCTGTAGACGAAAACTTGCAATTCTTGTCATGAAAATCAGGTGATAACTTTATGACATATCCCCAGTGAGCCCATCGTATATGGGAAGATAACAGGAAGAGTGGAATAATGTCATATCACAGTTATCTGAATACACCTAGAGTGGGGCATATCACAGGTTTGGTTCTCCAGTGGTGACTCTGTAGGAATAATTATCCCACCTCGCCCACCAGGGGCCTTCTGTGTGCACATGTGGTGGAAAGTCTCTCTCTGTGCAGTATCCCACTACTAACACCAGGGAGCACCTGGGTGCACAGGGATGTGTGTCTGCGCCATATCTCACTTCTGTCACCAGGGGGCACCTGTGTGTATGGGCACCCTTGGCACTATCCCCCTACTGCCACCAAAGTGTGCCACATGCCCAGGCGAGCAGGGTGGGGATAGTGTGTAGGGGTGTCAGTGTCCCCCTGTTTCCCCATTTGCTAAGTGACACTTTGCCGGGGTGGGTGTGGGGCTGGGGATTAACAGGGAGGGGGGAGTCGGGGGGGTGATGACACGGGTAGGAGGGCATGCTGGGGAGGGAGAAGCATGGAGTGAAATCACCCAGAGTTGTATAATAAAAGCCAGTGGAAATGCAGGTGTCAGCACTGCCAGGCAGGGGTGGGGGAACAGACGGGGGTGGGTGGGGTGGGAGCCAGAAGGGGGCAAATAGCACAGATGTGCCAGCTGTTGGGTGTGATTTCAGTAGGGGCTGAATTGTCCATCCCTCCCCCGCCCACCCACCCCTCCATCCATCCCTCCCCCACACACCCCTCCCTCCCCCCATTCCTCACCACACACAAACCTGGTGCATGCAGAGCGCGGCGGACTCACCCCATCCCGTTCGCAGCTTATTGACATCGGTGTAAATGAGTCTGGTACGACAGCCTGGCAAGAACAACCGGCTTTTCAAAGGAGCGCTGTCGGCAGGGGTTTTCTAGCACGTTCTAGGCCAGCGGCGAACGAGCCCATGTTACACCACACACTGAAGGTGTGGAGCGGGCACACACGCAAGCTAGCCGACAACACTGACGAGACAACGCAGATTGAACTGTAACAACATTTCTGCGAGCCAGTGTAACTGGAGCCCGGCGTGCGGAGTGAGGGGGCGGGCTGGGCCTTCGGAAAGGAAACGGACGTGCTGTAATAAGCCACGGACGAATGGCGTTCGAGGGCGAAAGGAGAAACGAGGTTCTGTTTCTACTCCCAAAGGGCTGGATTCTGATCCCAGCCGCCCCGGGGTCAAACCGGAGTCACCCCGACTGCAGTGGGGTCAGGGCCGGATTCTGATCCCAGCCCCCCTTGGGTCAACCCAGAGCGACGCCACGTGACACCCACTGCAAAACTCTGAAGGCCAATAAACAGAACCCAGCATTTATTATTGTTTAAAAACATTGTTTTTTAAATCAAGTCTCATGGTTTTTAAGCAGACTCTGTTCCCCCGGGATAAATCCCAAGCCAAGTGAAGTTAGCGTAGACCAGGGGTTCTCAGACTTTTGTCCTGGTGACCCCTTTCACACAGCAAGCCTCTGAGTGCGACCCCCCTTATACATTAAAAACACTTTTTCATATATCTAACACCATTAGAAATGCCGGAGGCAAAGCGGGGTTTGGGGTGGAGGCTGACAGCTCGCGACCCCCCATGTAATAACCTCACGGCCCCTTGAGGGGTCCCGACCCCCAGTTTAAGAAATCCTGGCGTAGCATATTTAACTGCAGACACGAGCCCAAGTGTCTGTGTTGGGCGAAGAAGATACTCGCAGCTCCCTGTCCAGGCTGTTTTTCTTCCTTCAGGTGTTTGAACTCTTCAAAGTCGTTCTGATGCTCCCTTCTAAACGCGTCGAGCTCCCGCGCCCGTTGGACGAAGGGTCCCGGGCCTTGGGGCTTGGCCAGATCGTAGCACAGCTGCAGATACTGTTCTGGGCTGCATCTCATCAGCCTCACCTCCAGTCTGAGCGCCTCCAGCACCAGGTTCCTCAGGGAATTCTCTTCCTCAGTCCGGTGCCAGTCGAAGAAATTAATGGAAGGCAGGAAGTAACTGGGCAGGTGTTTCTTCTCCAGGCAGAACTCCAGCACCTTCAGCAGCGTCCCCAGAGCATCCGGCAACGTGGCCCAGTGCTTTGTCTCTGGGTTGAGGTCAGAAGCCCAAAACAGGACCATCTGCAAGAGAAGGAGAAGTTACTCACCATGTGCAGCAACTGGAGTTCTCCCAGAACCGGGCCCCGATGGTGCTGCACTTCAGGTGCGCACCCCCCCGCGCCTTCGAGCAGAGATTTTTTGGTAGCAGCGCCTGTTCTGCTTGTGCGTGAGCTCCACACATCCTTGTGGCCCATACCAAGCTACCTAGAGATGTGCGGACAAACCGCCCTCAGTTCCTTCTCTACCGTGACGTCCCACAAGCCCAGAGGTTCGTAAACTGGGGGTCAGGACCCATCAGGGGGTCGTGAGGTTATGATGTGGGGGGTCGCGAGCGGTCAGCCTCCACCCCAAACCCCATTTTGCCTCCAGCATTTATAATGGTGTTAAATATATTTAAAAGTGTTTTTAATG